TCAACAATGATTAGGGTGAGCTTGTGGATATACAGATACCAACGAACAAGGCTACGGGGTGGAAACGACAGCCCTAAGTTCTGCTCTCTTCAACAATGGCCAAACTTGCGGGGCTTGTTTCGAGGTTACGTGCGTGGATGATCCAAAATTGTGCCTACCAGGCACCACCAAAGTAACAGCAACCAACTTGTGTCCTCCATCCAAAAATGCTAGTGCAAATTGGTGCAATCCTCCTTCAAAACACTTTGACTTGTCCCAACCAATGTTTCTAAAGATGGCAAAATTCGCGGCCGCCAGAATAGTCCCCATTCACTTTCAACGAGTGCCATGCTTTAAGAGGGGAGGGATCAAGTTCTATCTCGGTGTGCGCCCTAATTTCCTGCTTGTGTTGGTAGACAACGTTGGAGGGGCTGGTGAAGTGGTAGATGTAAAAGTGAAAGGCTTGAGCACTGGTTGGATACAAATGACGCGTAACTGGGGACAACAGACTGGAGGAGGTTTGGAAGGAAAAAGTTTGTCTTTCCAAGTAACTACTAGTGATAGAAGGGTGGTGGAGTCTCTCAACGTTGTGCCTGCCAATTGGCAATAAGGACAACATATGAGGGACAAAGGGAGAAACGTTTGTTAAAATTCTTGTGGAACAATAGTAGATTGTGAAACTGAACACTGTATTTGACAAAGTGTTAGTGGGTTAAATAAAATTAATCTACAAGCAACAAAGATCATTTTGTGCGTTGCTTAAGAAAGATCTAAATGTATGTAATCTAAAAATTCAACAAAAATAAAATTATCTTCGTTCCTTATCCAAATTTGTCCATTTTGCACATGGAATAAAGTCTTTTATGGTTCTCGTTGGGGATGAAACCGACTAGTGTGCGTGTGTGTGCGCCCGCGCAGAGAGAGGCCAAACCCTTCTTCTCATGTATTCTGATCTTAACATGAGAAACACTACAAGTCAAGCCTTATTGAGCCCTCTATGGCGAAATTCACCAATGCTTTCAATCTGTTGGGCGAGAAGAAACTCATAAAGATTGTGGACGAGAAGGCAGACGCGTAGCTCCTAGATGCGCTGAAAAAGAAGGCGGACACCAAAAAGAAGGCAGAGGAGTAGAGGAGGAAGAAGAGCATCTGCAGCGCCAAACTGATCCACTAAATAATAAACCAAACGTGAATGGAAGTCTTCAGAGAAAACTGAGGAAGCAAAGGCATAAAAACCAATATGAAAACAATGCAGCAGATGCCGAGTTTACTAGTACTACCGCGACTGTTCCTTCTGAGAACAAGTTTTTGGTTTCAATCACTTTGAAAAGAGTACGAGAAGAAGGGAGAGAATCACAAAGCCGCCACTGTAGAGCAGCCCCGACAGCCTGCAGAACAGCTTACTAAGTGGAAAGGGAGATTTTAGCTTGAGTGCGAGGGAACAAGCACATTGTTCTGCCCCGGAAAGTATTTCAATATTTTGCAGAATCTTCAAAGGCTGCCTATATTGACTTTGGCTCCACATCACTAGGGTACTAAGTGTAATTAACCCTTAAAAACGGAGCAATCATAAAGATTATAAAGTACAAATAATTGTTGACCAAAGTTTTTTTAGTGCTAAACCAATAAATTTAGGCCGGCTCAAAATTTTCATCTTTTACTATTACACTATTGCTCTCAAGTTTACCAACTACAACGACCTTTTGACGATTAAACATTTAAATTACGTATGGATATAAGCATCTTCATCATTCCGCAGGCCATTGACCAATCTCTCTCTCTCTCTCTCTCTCTCTCTCACACACACACACACAACCATGGATTTCATGATAGATGTGAATCACCAGAGGATCCAAACCAATGGAATATGGCTTCATGTAGCCGAAAAAGGGACAGGTCCTCTAGTTCTCTTGCTTCATGGCTTCCCAGAACTCTGGTATTCCTGGCGCCACCAGATCGAATACTTGGCGGAAAACGGCTACCACGTGGTGGCGCCGGATTTGAGAGGTTACGGCGACTCTGACGCTCCTCTCAACCCCAACTCCTACACCATCTTCCACATAGTTGGAGACCTCATTGGCCTACTTGATCATTTTGGTCAACAAAAGGTGAGAAGCTTTTTTTCGACAGAAGTGATCTCCCGCACGACTTTTTTCTCCCATGTATATTCTGACATTTCGATTGAATAAAATCAAACAAAGAACTAAGGGGCAAAAATAAACAGGTACGGCAGAAAGGGAAAAGAGTTGTGCAGAAATCATTTCCTTTCTTGAACCCCAATTAAAGAAAATTTAAAATTTTATGTGAACATATCCATGTTGTTATGTATGTGAGGGGTTTAAGGATTTTTGAGAATCTTATGTAATGGTTTGTGATTTGAGAAGGCATATGTGGTGGGACATGATTGGGGAGCAGTTGCTGGTTGGAATTTGAGCTTGTTTAGGCCTGATAGAGTGATAGGGCTGGTTAATCTCTCAGTTCCATACTTTCCACGATCTCCAACAACCAAAACTACCGAAGCCATAAGACAAATTTTTGGTGAAGGATGTCATGTAATTCAATTCCAGGTACTTCCTTTCTCTCCAGATGTTCGTATCAAACTCTGCACCCACCCGAAATGTTTATGTTGTCAGACTGTCATTGATTGGGTTCTTACCTGAATGTGTGGTCCAAATTCTCAATCTAACAAATATATGTATGCATATGTCACTTAATTGTTGTTTCTTTGCTGAGAAGGAACCAGGAAGAGCAGAGAAAGCGTTCGCGAGGTATGACTATATGACAGTGATGAAGAAGTTCCTGTTGATAACCAATAATATGATAGCTCCTCCTGACATGGAGTTTATCGATTACCTGGAGACACAATCTTCACTGCCGGCATGGCTAACTGAAGAGGATATCCAGGTCTTTGCCGAAAAATTTGAGGAGTCTGGATTCACCGGTCCTTTGAACTACTATCGCTCAATGGATCTGTAAGTTAAAGAAATTTCTCCGTGTATTCCCAAGCTGAAATTGTTCCTCAAAAATATGCCTTAGGTACAACCACCATATGCTTGAAGACTTGTTCTAATCCAAATTGCTATTAGAATATACTCGAGTTACCAGCATCCAAGAAAACCAGAGAATATTTTTTTTTGATTCTGAGTGATATTCTAAACTAATCTAAACTGGGGAAAGGGTGATTCGAACTTAATGTAGACGAGGGAACACACTGCTCTAACTAACTTATCTACGCTTAAAATGAAGCCAACCCTCCTGTCCTGCCTTCCTTTTTGGTCTTTTTGTTTTGTTGGTTGATGGTGATACTACTTACCATGATAAACAGGACTTGGGAGCTGCTTGCGCCCTGGCAAGGATCGAAAATCATGGTACCCGTGAAGTTCATGATCGGCGACAAAGACTTCGGGTTTAAATCAGGCGGAACAAGTGAATTTGTGCAAGGTGATGAGTTCAGGAGCCTTGTCCCGGACCTTGAGGTGGTTATTGTGGGCGGCCACCATTTCATCCAACAAGAGAACCCTCAAGAAGTCTCCAGCCAAATACTTTCCTTCCTCCGTCAACATCCTGCAGATCAGTGAAATTTTCGTGTTAGTGTGTTTCTGCTTCAATGACAATTTCTGCTTTCTGTATAATTATTGTTCTTCTTAAGACATGTTAGAAATCTGTTTATAACCTCATTTGATTGCTACTGGTGAAATTTTCATGGAATTCTAGGGTAGGGACAACATTGATGCGGATCATATCATCGAGGATGATATCAATCAATTTTCAACGTTGAAGGATTAAAGTGAGAAGTTTTGTAAACTTCAGGAATCAATTACAATAAAAAATCAACTAGTTAGTTTGAGGAAGGATACAAACCTTGTTCCACAAAAGAAGTGAAACTTGACACAATACAATACAATCCAATCCAATTTACTGTTCAGTATAAATCAGTTCAATGCAATCCTATATGGCTGTCTTTTTAGTCAAAATAGTTCATGAGATTGATATAACTCCTCACTTTGGTCCTTGAGATTTGAAAACTATAGAAGTGGTCCCTGAGTTTGTCCACAATCAATCGTTTTGGTCCTTCCATGAAAATCTCTGTTAAATAAAAGACCAAAATAACAAAAATACTCTCAGGAACCAATTTTATCGATTTTAAATCTCAAGGATCAAAGTGAAGAGTTATACTAATCTCGAAGGCCATTTTGGTTAAAAAATCATCCCTTAATCTATACACAAAGAGAACAATCTGTGATATGAAAACCCAAATTAAAACGAAATAAGAAAAAAATATTGTGATGTAAGCAGATGTCGCATTTCCAAAATATATTCACAAGGGCACAGTGAAACACAGAAAAAACCATAACTAAAACACTTTTCTATACAAGAAAGAAGCAAAATTCTTGGATGGCAGTTTCCAGGAAAATGACATAGAAAAGCACTAAATTTTTTATTCAATGAAATCATCCAGTGAATATTAGTATATTTTTTTTACAAGAAGATATTTTAAATTATATTAATTTATTTAGAGGGGGGTAAGGCTAGCCGACATTCACCTCTCCCAGACCCTGCGTAAAGCGGGAGCCTTGTGCACTGGGTACGACCTTTATTTAGAGGGGGGATTCGAACTTAAATATAAGAAGACATACACCGACCAACTAATCTAACCATATTTAAATAAAATTAGTAATTGGGTCAACAAATTGGGAACCGGATCCCCTCTGGATCCATATATACTAAGCTTGCTGAGCAGGTGATCCGGGTTGTTAAAATTTGATCTAACGGCTACAATTATTATAACTTTTAGAGGATCCATGTTTGTAGCTATTAGATCAAATTTTAACGGGTCAGATCGCTTGCTCAGCACACTCAATTTTATTGGATCCGGTTCCAACCAATTGTACTTTTCTACACCATAACTCCCGTTCTTTCTCCCAAAAAAAAAAAAAAAAAAAAAAAAAAAACACTCACGTTGGAGCATTTGATACGTTACCCTCTCTGGTCTTATTCAAACTTGTCATCTTTGACTGTTTGACAACCAGAATGTTCAAGTCACCAACTTCCCAATCATTTTTCTGCAAATTGTACATAGAATAGTGAACTCTCTCTTTCTCTATCTCTCTCTCTCTCGCTCTCTCTCTCTCTCTCTCTCTTTCTCTCTCTCAGGAAATATGAATGATGAGGTGACTCACCAGAGGATCAAAACTAATGGAATATGGATGCACATAGCGGAGCAAGGGACAGGGCCTCTGGTGCTTCTCCTCCACGGCTTCCCGGAAATATGGTATTCGTGGCGCCACCAGATCAGTTTCTTGGCTAAGCATGGCTACCATGTTGTTGCTCCTGACATGAGAGGCTATGGCGACACCGACGCCCCTCTCAACCCTTCCTCCTACTCCATTCTCCACCTCGTCGGCGACCTTGTTGGCCTCCTTGATCATTTTGGTGGACAGCAGGTTTCTCTCTCTCTCTCTCTCTCTCTCTCTGATTGTTTCTTTTACTTAACAATTGTCGTTCATGAGATTTGAACTACGATCTAACAAAGCGGAGAGTTGGGTTTTTAGCAAGAGAGTTTGATCGTTTGTGTCTTGTTGGAAAAGGCATTTGTTGTGGGACATGACTATGGAGCCATTGCAGCTTGGCACCTGAGCCTTCTCAAGCCCGAGAGAGTCAAGGCCGTCGTTGCACTATCTGCTCCATACTTCGAAAGGTCTTCAAGCACTAGGAATTCCGATTCGATGAGGCAGCTGTTCGGCGAGGGGTGTTACGTTCATCAGTTTCAGGTTCTTTTACAGCAAAACACAAACATGTAGAAATTGTGTTTTAACAAATGTGTGTTTTTATGATTGGATTTTCTATGGCGTAGGAGCCAGGAAGAGCAGAAAAATCGTTTGCGAGATACGATTATTTGACGGTGATGAAGAAGTTCCTGCTGTATAACAAGACAGATTATCTGGTGGCTCCTCGTGGAATGGAGATAATCGATTATCTGGAGACACCGGCGGTGTTGCCGCCATGGATTTCTGAAGAGGACCTCCAAGTCTATGCTCAAAAGTTTGAGGAATCTGGCTTCACTGGTGCTCTCAATTATTTTCGTACAATTGAAATGTAAGTGTAGCCACATTGGTCTCGTCTGTGCACCTAAGTTCAAATCTTCCACTCCGATATTTAGATTATTCAACATAGAAATAGGAACATGTCACGGGCTTGGTTTACCTGTTGCACCTGTCTCTTTGAACGTGACCTGACCTAATCTCTCTTCACGCGGTTTGGTTTGGTGTTGGGGCTGGCTTAATTGCAATTGTCAACCCTAGAGAATCTTCAATGGCTTTTAGGTTTTGATTTGGTGATTTGATGCTACCAACCAAAATGGGTCGGATTTTGGGTCGGGTTTACCCTACTAACCGAAGGGCTTGGGTGTGCTTAATTCGAAATGAGATCCACTCCTGATCTTTTTGTTCGGAGGCCGTAGACCAAAAGATCCAGACCGTTCAAGAGAGAGAAAGAGATCCAGACTATTCAAGTTTTTGGATTTTTGTAAAGTGGACCAGTGGAATGGACTAATGAGAGTCGTAGGATTGAAATCGAGTGGTCCGGTTCTCTCAATCTGTGGGCTTCAGACATAGAAATCAACTTTACCAATCACTACACACGCTTGATTTAGCTTGCACAATACTGTTGATATGCTCAATCACTTTAATACTCTACTCAGTCTCACGTCATAACGTTCGATGGTATTCAATGGCTTTTGCTAATTTTTGACAGCTGTTAACTTTGGAAATGGAAACAGGTACTGGGAGCTCATGGGACCATGGCAAGGTTCAAAGGTTAATGTTCCAGCAAAGTTCATTGTGGGTGACAAAGACATTGGTATTGAAGTTCTGGGCACAATGGAATATGTAAAAGGAAGTGTTTTCAAGAGTCTTGTGCCGAACCTGGAAGTCGTGATCTTGGACGGCCACCATTGTATCCAGCAAGAGAAAGCTCCAGAAGTCTCCGACGAGATTCTTTCCTTCCTACGCAAGTTTTCTACAGAAAAGAGTTTGCCAGTCTAAATGAGAGTTTTGCCTTACCTATTTTTCAATGTTAATACAATGTATGACATTTGCAAGCATTTGTCCGTGAGTGATACGATTCGCAACTATTTACATGCTTTTCCAAAAATACCTTCCGATACTCTTTTAAGTTATGAAATTTCAACTGAGATAATGTTTGATGTAGAAAGAGTACTCAAAATTGAGGATGAAGAGAAGAACCTTACTCGTTCGTTCTAGCCAATTTTAGAAATTTCAGTACATTTTCGTATACAATAAAAGTGATCGAAGAAGCAGGAACATTTTTCAGAAGATTTGGTGTGATTCCCTTGTAGAAACCTCGAATGCCCTCAAACCTACAAGCCGCAGCAGGAAAATATGGAAATAGAGAAGTTAGCATCCGAGACAAAATCAAAGGGGAATTTATCAAATAAGAGCAACTTAATGCCTTCAATAACTAGTCTTCTGCTTTCATACGTTAAGGGTAATTGTCATCCTTACCGTGCAGTTTCCCTTACTACATGCCAGCTATCCATATATCTTGGAATTCCTTCGCTACTAGGTCGTTGCTGACAAAATGAGACATTAGAAAGTTCCAATCATCAATAAGGAATACGAGCGAATAAAACATGTAGAATCACAAAGGGCAACTTCCTGAACCCATCGTGATAATAAAAGCTCAAACTGTTTCAGACTGGAGAAACTTGCACGTATTGAGACCATGTAAAGAGGAAAAATATATGGATATACCAACCTGCAATCGAGATCGTATCACCTGAAAAAACATGAAAAGAAAAAACCAGGTCATCGAAACTGCATAAGTAATAATCTAAAATTGAAATGAACATCTAAAAGAATTTTACACCAGAGCTAATAATATGTATTTATGCGTGCCTGGAATGGATATGATAGAAGAATGGCCGCAACTTTAGATGATCCACCCAATGCTGCATAGTCAACTGAATTCTGTGCAGAAACCATTGGGCCATAAGATTCCGTAAACAGGCTGCTTAATTGGCAAAAGAGCAACAAACATATGTTACCGTGCAACAAATGGTGGTCTACATTGCAGTAGCTGTGCAAACACTTATACTTCTCCTAGATGCATCGTCAGGAATTTAATATGCTCAAGTAAATCAATAAAGCAAAAGTTCCAAATTCTTCAGATGAACTAAAGTGGACAAAAAATTGAACGACTGTTCCCCTGTGAGTGCAAGTGTAGATGAGAAGAAATTAAACTGATGATGATTTGATAAGATGGATTCCCATTTGTGAAACATGTAGTGTATAATCCTACAGCACTCTTTAACATGCTGCGATGTTAATGCCATAGATAGAGGAGATGAACAGGCACAAGGAATGTGTGCTTTTCTCAATCATGAATGGGTAGGTATATTGAGCAGAAGATGCGTACTATAGTATAATCCAAATCCTGTTATTACCCAAATATCCACTTTTTTTTTCCTTTCTCTTTTACGAATTTGTAGAACAAATCTCATTTCCCCACCAATCTGGGATTTCTTCATTTGGAGCAGTAAATCCTAACCAATGACTAGAGGACAAATTTTCCAACATCCGAAAAGGACCACTATAGCGAACTATACAAGATATGGGAATGTAAGTAAAAAAATCCAGAAATTCTCGATGTATAGACGGAAATAGAGCCATTCTATAAATACCAGCACTGTATCAGCACTTCCAGAATGCGTTCTGCGTCTTTTAGACTTGAAGTCAACAACGATTTTACGGAGTTCTTCATATGCTGTGAATTGAATAGCACCATGAGAAACCTGCTGAAACAATAAGAAGACTGTAAGCTGCAAATTCTAAAGCATGAAAGACTGGAAACTTTTGGGCACAATTGAGACATGTGTATACTCTAATGCAAATGCACTTATATGGTCTTAACATACAATTAAATTTAGAAATACAAAATAATCGCCAGAAGCACTTCCATCTCTCCGCTCGGCATTGTAAATCATTAGATATGTCAGATACTCCCATATTTTTCCATAACAAATTCTTCACATGTTTCTTCAGTTTCCTTTTGCATTGATTAACTCAAGTATTTGACAAAATACAGAGATCAACTTGAGTATAAATTTCGACAATCATTTCATGACATCACAACTATGAATATGGTTTTTTTTTTTTTTTTTTTTTTTTTTGTAGTGAATTAGTGATGCATACAAGCTGTACAGAGAGGCTGTTAGTGTCTGTGGGGAGACAAGAAAGTAACCCCAAATCCTCTATACAAGCTGTACAAAGAGGGGTCATATTAAAAACACAAAAAGATCATAGACAAAAAGCATACCAGAAAGAGACTGGGAAGAAGACCTTTATAAAGCGCAGCCCACCCTTCCTCTCTGATTATGGTTCTTAAGGCATCTGAGATATGAAAAAAAAAATTAAAAAGCAAAGTAAAACAAAGGTTATGAACATAAGTACATGAAGAAAATTCTCTAAAACAGACACATCACAGATGATTGAGCAAAAGTTTTTAGGTGATAGTTATTGCAAATTCCCTTGAATCGGGAAGTTTTAAGTTTGGTATATGCTTGATATCATTATGCTCATCTTTCTAAAAACAAGTTAGCGTTAAAGCAAAGCAAACTTCATTACAATTACAATCCTGTCATATTGTCTATGTCCTACTTTATAGCCAATCAGACCAATCTTATAAAATAGGTTATCTTCTAATTCTAGAAGTCCTCATCAATAATAGTTTATTTTCAGCACAAATTAACAAATAAGGAATATTTAGCAAGCAACAAACTAGTAAGTGAGCCGAACAAACTAAAAAGGGGATATTGCAGTCATTCCTATCAAGTTAAAGTAAGATAAGAAGCAGACCATAAAACCCAGAATATGGTCGAGTTTGATGGAGAGGAGTCTGAAGCTGCAATCTTGTTTTTACAAGCCAAATAGGATTTGTGCACAAGGAAACCTGACAAAATCACAACATTGCTATCATCTATAGGCAACCATCCACTAAACTTCTGGCTACCTTCTAAAAGTATTGGAAAGAAACAGAAAGTGATTTATTATTCCTCTAAACACTTCATATAAAATTTCAAAGTTTGAAACATATTAATGTGATTTCCTAACTTCCCACCCTCCAACAGTGTCTTGATTTCAGCATACAAAAAGTTGGATAACTAGCAATAATAGGCACGATATGCAATATGCACATAGAACTGACAAGCAGGATTGCATAAAACTTTGATAATTAACAACCGAACGTTCCATTAACATTTTCTACAACCATATTATTCGAAGGTAGCAGAAGACTCACCAAAGCACCAGCTTCTGCCGCAGAAGCAAGATGAAGGCCAGCGCTCAGCTGCTTTTCCCTGTCCTTCGAATACCTTTCTTTTGCTCTTCCATAGCTACATACAACAGAAGTTTTCGGTTCACTCATAACTTCCTTCTGAAAACAATGAAAAGACCAAAATTGAAAGCAACCCAATTTCAACTGCATTGCGAAAGTCGAACCCTTTTGATATCTCAATATTTATCAAATAAAAAAGCTCCAATTTTATACTAGAAAAAACCATACATTTCTACTTACAAGAAGAAATATAAACCCCATGAAACAGTGGAGCCTAGAACCGCAGGAGAGAAGCCTGCGTAGAGTCCTCTCAGGCCCTGTAAAACACAAAGCAATGTGATCCCAAATCATCATCTGACAAAAAAAAAAAAAAAACCCCTGGGGCGTTTGCAGGAGGATAGATTTTTACCTCCAATCGAGCAATGGTAAAAATGGCGTGAGCCGTGTTCTTGTAAGTCGGAAGATTCAAGACTCGACCGTCGTTGACTTGAAATCTGGTCCGGACAACGTCGAGGGGATGCATAGCGGCGACGGTGGCGAATCCTGCGACGGCGCCGGCGGTGGCGGTTTCCCACTGCCACCGCGACGCTGACGACATTTGTATTTCACGACAGATTTAGAAGACGAATTGTACTCTTTAAGCTGTGCAGCTCTGAGTTCTGAAGAGTGAAGCGAGCAGGCTTTTCTAGGCGATCGACCGCGACGTCGTCGTTTACGATTTTAAATCGAACCGCCAGGTATTTTACCGGTAACGACTAACGAGTAACGAAGTGGCGGCTTTGCCTCTCGACTCTTGAGTGCCCTCAGCTGTGACCCAGACCGTGCCGTTGTGTGTGCAAGGTGCGTACTTGGTGTTTTATAAAACTGGTATCTTTCACAGTTTTTGGTGGAAAAAAAAAAAAAATGTGAAGCAATAAAAAAAATGTGAAGCAATAAAAATAAACTTATTTTCACAGCACAGTAGAATTAGTTTTTTTTTTTTTCAAAACACAGTAATATCAAACCAGCTCTTATACCGGTTTGTTATTGAGGTGCTTTTTATAAAAAGTGGGTATCAAAAAAAGCTGAGCTCAAAAAGATGTTTGGTAAACACTTAAAAACAATTTATTTTTACAACTTTTGGTGAAAAAAAAAAAAACTAAAAACGTGAAGCAGCATAAATGTTGGATTATATGTTGAATGTTGGATTATGATTTCTTGTTAAACGTTGGATTATATGTTTAAAATAAAGTTTATAAATATTTTTCTTTTAAAAATAAAGTATATTTAGTAATTCACTTTTATTTGTTAAGAAAATTAAATTAATGGCACATCTAGTATTATACTATTTTTTGTCATTACACACAATCACAGCTGTTTTACATAAAAGTTTACCAAACACTATAATACTGCTTTTTTCCAAAAGCACTTTTACAAAAAAGTTTAACAAACACTCTGCTGCTTTATTTCACAGCTGCATACTCTCACAGCACAGCAGAAACGGTTTTTTATTTCAAAGCACAGCAATACCAAACTAACCCTTAAACAGTGTCGTTGGAAAGTGTCTAGACTAGGCTTATTTTCAAACTAATTAGGTCCTATCCTTCGAAGTGAAATTAGTCACCCTAGGATAATTCAAGTTTTGAAACCTCAATAGATTTTGGGATTCTGAATTTTAACATACATTTCAATTCTAATACAAATTGTCTCGAAAGTTTTTGGCATACGAGACTTCGGATGTCAAATTTGATTCGGATAACGCCAAATTTGAAAGCTTTCGTATAAAAACTTAACCAATTCAAAATTGTCTATCCAACTTGCACTCCATAGTTCCCAATTTTTCTAATACTCAAGTGCAACTAGGGTTTAGACCGACGAATATTATAACTGGTCCACAAATTTCAAATCCTGGATCAAATTTTAATCCAAACCCTGATTGAACTTATTGCATCGGAAGAAAAATTGCTAGTTTCAACTCATCGTATTTGAATTCACTTCGTAGTAAGTATGGTATAAAGATATGTTAAATTGATGATAAGTAAGCCCGAACAGACACAAGAAAGAGGCATAGGTTCGCACTACGGAATTCGCAATAATGTCCCTCATGATCTCCCACCATTCACAAGACAAGAACCTGCAGCCTCATGCGCTGCCGCGCTAGCCCAAGAAGACATTGCAGCACAAGGAATGCCTGAACAACAACAAGAACTTGGACTAAGTTGGCTTTTTGGATATTCTGTACCTCCTCATCTCCTGCCACCAGTAGCAAGCCTTCGACACTCCATTCTGTTGAGTCCCACGTTGGCTATACAAAAAGAGAAATAATAGTTTAAATATCATAACTCTACTCCAACTAACACTGATGTCTTTTGTGATAAAACTCCACACCTGACGGATTGTGCAGGTAATAATTACCAAGTTGGGGATAGTATTGGTGTTGTTGGAAGTGGGCTCTTGGCCCGTTTCTCGGATAATTCTACACATTCAGTTTCAAGAACCTGCTGCCCCTCATGTCTTGCAAGCCAGGAAAGCCATTGCAACGCAAGAACTAGGGCCAGGTTCGTACTGTGAAACTCAGAACTCTGTACCTAATGATATCCCATCGTTTCCAATCCTCAAGAATTCAATTCAACTTCAAAAGCCTGCCTGCTCCACAAGCCCAGCAATCCCAAAAAGCCATTGCTGCTGCACAAGAACATCCAAAACTGGAACCGGGATCTTATTATAAAAACGTCAACTACGTGCCTCCTGATATCCCACCGGTCCCAAGCATCCAACACCTGATTCAAATATGCAGCAAGCCTTTTGAGAAGCAGTTGGCAAAAAACGATGTGACGCGAGAGTTAAGGCTGAAGGATTGTGATGTGGAAACGCACATCTTGCCGTTGTTGAACCCGTCTGAGGACCCTAAACAAGGAATCTGGATCACAGTATACGACATCGCTGGTAGTGAGTACAAGATGATGTTTAAGGCCACAAGAGTCCGCAATAATATTCAAGCCCTTACCAGTGTAGGTTGGAAACATTTTGTTGAACATCATGGCCTGGTGAACTGCCAAGATTTTGTTACCCTGTGGGCGTTCAGGAATGCACAAACTGGAAAGCTATGCTTTGTCATCTGTTTGAGATATGGACTGCAGCATGAAAAGGTCTAAAAATGTCGATGAAGTTTCATTTGGTTCCGGTTCCATCGACTTGTAATTTTGAGGTGTACACATGGATCAAGATCATTTTTGTGAACCAATTTATCAAAATGCTCGGTGTAACTTTAGCAAAGTAGATATCATAAATTCAACTTTGTGAATCAATTTACGAAAATGCTAGGTCTACAACAGTTGGTAAAGTAAACGTAATGAAGTAGAAGATAGGACTGAATGTAACAAATCGAAACAAAACTTGTGCAGATACATTATTCTTACTCAAAGAAAGATGAGCAAAGCAACTGTATCGATGAATGCCTTTCAAAAAACGAATGCTTTTCATCATGAAGATCTCCTAATAGACTCGGTTAACTGCACTTCCACTGTGATGAATCACTATTTTGCTACTCTACATTTTAACAATCCTTGCCACCTGAAACTTGAACTTCTTCAAGCATCTCTCCTCCTGGAGAGTCACCAAAAGAAAATATAAACCATTAGGTACTGAAGTTGCATAACCACATCAAACCAGAAAAGAGTGCAGTAACGTGCAACGATAACAAGTGCTGTCAAAAACCATTTCCTGAAACCATTGACAAGTGATTTGGCCGAGTGGGTGATACCATTGTGCACTTATGTGTACTGCAAAACTGACGTGTAGCCGTATGCACATTCGGACACTCAAATAATTTCCGAGGTAAACACAGATTTTCCTACTAATTCCTCTATGACATTCTCCAGCTCCCCAACAAGGTCATGCTATAAAGCCCTAAATACCAAGGAAACCTATTCACTATTTAGAGACTGGATGAACACTGGATTCGGGACACGACTCAAAACTCATAGTACCTATATAACATCCCTAAATTCTCAGTAACCTTTACATATGAACAATAAATAGCCTAAGACTAGCCGTTAATCATACTGAACAAAGCTGGAATTCTAAACCAGCATGCTACGAAAACTTTCCGGGTTACCGATCCCTGAAAAACAACGAAAAAGCTCAAAAAGGGTTTATAGCTCCTACAGCCAAACTACAATGCACACCATACATTCAAACTTCAGTTCACAAAACGCAGGAGCAGAATTCCAGAATTTACCTCACTCCATAGAAACTTTGGCACCAACTTCCTTCATCTTGGCAACAATCGATTCGGCCTCCTCCTTCGTAACCCCCTTCTTCAACAGCGTAGGCGCCTTCTCCACCAAGTCCTTGGCCTCCTTCAGCCCCAAATCCGTAAACGTCCGCACCTCCTTAATCACCTTGATCTTCGCCGCAGCGTCGAAAGAATCGAGCTTTACATCAAACACCAACTTCTCCGCCTTCTCCTCGCTTTTGGCCGCCGCCGCGCCGCCCTTTCCGGCCCCCCTCAAGCCGCCGAATCCCATCCCGGGCATCATCATCACCATCCCCGGCATCTCCTTCACCCCCAATTTCTCCCTCAGAACCTCCGTGAGGTCCGAGACTTCGAGCAAAGTCAGGCCCGAGATCTCGTCCGCGATCGCCGATACCGATTCGGACGGCGGCGGCGGCGTCTGCTCCGGTACAGCGGTGGTGTAATTGCACACTACATGAGAGAAAATCTGGGGTTTCGATTGGAGAGACGAAATGGGAATAGGATTTGGGGGGTTTAGGGTTTTTTTAATGCAGGAAAAATGTGGGGAAATGAATCGTAAATATCTCATTTTTTTGGGTTCGGGAATGCGATTTTAGGGAATTTGAGGTAGCTATCTGGGCATGGCGGTTGTCGTCGGAGCATAGAATTTCAGAAGGTTGGTGGGTCCATGGCTTTGAAGCTCTCAGAAAAAGAGTGAAGAGTGATTGGTATGGCGCGAGTGGGAGTAACCCGCTGAAGCCTGCAGGCTTAAACCCTACAGGGACGAAGGGTTATGTTTTGGGCTTTGTGAAATAAAATCAATTATGAGCCCAAATCCGTTTTGGGGCCCAAGAACACCATGTTCTTGTTTGTACAAAATATCCGTCGATGTGGTGTCAAATAAGTAGTGGATCAAGAGTAATGGTATTCTTACCGCAATTTTATATTACATTTATTTACCATCTTAGGTGGCAGATGAGTTGGACAAGTTACATCATTTAATTTCAATCTTTTTATTAATTAAGGCGGTGTAGTCAAACTTGGATTTGAAAGGATTTAAAAGATTTTAAAATCCTAATCTAGTCAACTAATGGATTTTAAGAATCCATATAAATCTAGGTGTAGTCAATGAAGATTTTAATAGTCAGTTTTAAAGTTCACCCAAATCTAGATGTATTCAAAAATTAAAGATTTTGTAGGATTTCATTAAGTTGTGGATTTTGTATGAATTCATTAAGTTGTGGATTTTGTAGGATTTGAGAGGAGGAAGTATATATAACAAATACCAAATAGAATCCTACCTCACACCATAGGATTTTAAATCCTAGTTAAACGACTCCTCTTCTTCTCATTGCCAGTCACTTTCTTTGCTGTATCTTCTTCCTTCATTTTTGCAATATTTTCTTCAATTTTTGTTGTTGGGTTGCATCATTTTATGCAATTTTTTCTTCAATTTTTTGTTGTTGGGTCGCAATCTTTCTTCATGTCCGCAATGTTTTCGTTGCTGCTGGACCCTCATGCTAATTGCTGCTACGTGTGCGGCATGGGTTCATGAATGAATAAGGTGACAACGATTGAATTCGTTTCTTCATGTGTGCTTATTTATGCTTTTTTTGTTGTTGGGTCGCAATCTTTCTTCATGTCTTCATGTCTACTTATTTATGTTTTTTTTTTTTGGGTACCATGAATGAATTCGTTTCATTAATAAATATCAAGAATAAATAAGGTGACAACGAAAGGGATAAGAATAAAGTGAGGGAGGAAGTAGGATTGGAAATGGGTGCACTGGGGATCTTTGAGGAGTTAGGTTTATGTGATAATCTTGACTTCTTTTTTTTCGGCTCCAAGGGATGCAGCTCCAGATCATGAACAGTTTCATTTGATTAAATTTACCTAGGTACATTTATCACCATTTGATTTATTTGATGGTTAAGATTCAACATTACAAAATCTTTCATTAAAATCTTCTCAAATCTTCCAAAATCTATAGGATTTTGTAGAAATCTATATAATCCTATGAAATCCATCACGTATCAAAATCTATTAAAATCCCCTCAAATCCAAGTTTGACTACACCCCCCTAAAACACTTAAATAATCTTAGGTGGAAGAAGGAGACTTCTTGTATACCATAATCATCATTTAATTAACAATCTTTTTATCAATTATTGATTAACATTTTGAAATTAAATGCTAATTAATTTAGATGATATGGCTGTCCACATCAAATGACACCTTAGGTGATACAAAATTATGGTAAGAATAGCATTATTGGTGGATCAAACTGTTTCATGTGAGTTTTTATTTTCATGTCTTAATATAGAAGACTATGTCTTGGCGCTATATGAAATATGAATATTAATTAATAATAGCATGACACTTCGAATTCGATATGATAAATTTTTTTAAACCCTTAAATTATGTATCGAAAGAGTAGTATGAGATAAAATGTATTTCCGATTTTATCTAATCTATCTGGAGGCCTATTTTAGTGTCACAAACTTTTTTTGTTTTCATGCCGGGAGGCTTTTAACAATATTTAGTGTAACATCTCACATCGCCCAGGGGAGTGATCCTTAAATGTATATTCTCATCCTTACTTAGCACGAGGCCTTTTGGGAGCTCACTGGCTTCGGGTTCCGTCGGAACTCCGAAGTTAAGCGAGAAGGTGGCCAGAGCACTCTCATGATGGGTGACCCACTGGGAAGTTGCTCGTGAGTTCCCAGAAACAAAATCGTAAGGGAGTGGTCGGGGCCCAAAGCAGACAATATTGTGCTATGGTGGTGGAGCGGGGCCGGGAAGTGATCCACCCCGGGCCGGGATGTGACATTTAGGTTATGAAAGAATATGAAAAAAAAAAAATCTTGTTATTTTATTTGAAAAAAAAAAATAAAAAACTTTGGGTCTCAGTTTTTTATTCCTAACTCATAGCCTTCAAGTGATTTTTCTTCATTACTTATAGGCGCTTAATATCGACACATATTTAACTGTTAAATTTAATTTAATTATAGAAATTAAATGACCAAAGACAGTTAAATCAAATACAACGGTCAAATATGTGACTAGGAACGGAAGAAAATTTCCAAAAAGCCAAATGAATGAAGAAAAATGGTGCAATTTCCATTAAATTTCATCAAGTGATGCCCATAATTTATCCTTGAAATCACAAAATACACACACACACACACACAAAATGCCCACAATTTATCCTTGAAAGCACAAAATACACACACACACACACACACAAAAAGAAGAAAAGCGAACTCCATACAAATTTCCAGCACCCTCATAAGCTAAGAGTTAACCTTCCTGCAGCTCTTCCTAATCTCTCCCCTCGACCCCGTAATCGGAGAAATATTCCCCATCTTAACCATGGACTTGGCAAACTGCTCAAAGAAAAGCTCATTGTTCTCTGCATACTGCTGCACCAACTGCTTTGACACCTGACTTTTCGTGACGAGAACTTCGTCCGAGTTCAGAAGCCCCTTGATGGCCAGCAGGTTCTTGAAGTAGCTGTTGTCGAACTTTGTAGGGCTCACAAAGTCCATCACGAACAGGTTCTGGTCCCCGCCGGATCTCGGGCACCTGGTTCGAAGCTGGGCGGCGTAGGACTGGTCGAGGGTGAAGTCAGCCAGACCGTTGCCCGACTGGTTGTAGAGCCTCTGCCTGAAGGAGGTGCACCTGGCATTTCCAATGGTGTGGCTTCCTGCATGAACACAAAGTTTAGCGCATGTTAATATTTGGGTAATTTTTATTTTGCATGTTGGAGTTGTGTGGCTAGATACAAGTTAAATGTTAGTGATTACTAATAGCACCAAAGTCTTTTGAGATAGTACCCGACGGATTTGGATCCTCTCCGAGGTAACTGGTCAAGATCCTCCTGACCAGTATTCGTGAACCGTTGGATTTTTATCCAACGGCTACAAACAGGGGACCCTCTAAAAGTTATAATAATTGTAGCTGTTGGATAAAAATCCAACGGTCCACGAACACTGATTAGGAAGATCTCGACTAGTTGTCTCGGAGAGGATCCACTGTCAGACTAGGTGGGCTCCAACATAGTGCAAAAATTGGGAAATTAATCTCTTGGTGCTAATTCTTATAAAGTTCATCCACTTTGTGAAAATTAACCTATTTCACCCTAGTGAAAATTGGCCCACTCCACCTTAATAACATCGAACAAAGTTAATCACTCAACAAACATTGACTGTAAAAGGATAAATTATAGTCCACTTCTATGAAAATTCTTGGTTTTGCCCTTGAAGGTTAAATTTGAGATTAATATCGGTGATACCCACACCGATTTTCTGTAAAACAAGGTAGTATATATAAAATGGTGTGTTGGGAAAAAATTTACCAGATAGTGCAACAAGATCAACAATGTCGAGCTTTTTCAATTTGAACTTGGTGAGAATAGTTTGGAATGTGTTGTTTGGGGCAGGAATGTTGTTGTTGGAGCCACTCAAACTTGCTCCTCTTGAATCCCTTCTTCCAAGTGGGACCTCCCAGTTTGGCCCACCAGTCTGAAATTTTATGCAACAATTGACAGACAGCATATGTTAGAATTTAGGCTTTTGTCACACACCATGCAACTTACAAAAAAAGCTAAAATTTGTAGAAGCACTTACCAGAACAGTTGAGTCTCTAGCAGCAAGAGCCAAAATGTCAGCACAAGACACAGTGCTGGGGCACTCATTCTCCAGTGCAGACTTGATTTCGTCAATCACTTCGAACCCTCGCGCTGAATTCTGGTTCGGGACAGACCTCTTTTCGGTGATTATGTTCTGGCTGCTGTCCAGCAGAAGTGATGCATCACAACCCTGCAAAATAGGTAGCAAGTAGCAAAACAATCTTAAGTACCTCACTCACATAGATGTACGTGTAACTAGAAGTAACTGGGACACTTTTTGTGATCGTATACCTTCACGAAACAGTCATGGAAATGCAGCCTGAGCAAAGAAGCTGCCATTCGGGTTTCCCTAGCAACTGCTTTCGCAACAACGGACTTGACAATCTCTTTGGCTCTGGGGCAGGAGCGGTCATAAAACTGTGGGTAGAGATACCCACCAGGAGTTTTGTCACAGAAACATAGTGGAGAAAATGCAAGAAGAGAAAGAGCAAGAAGGAAGCTCAAAGAGTTGGCCATAATAATGTGGTTTCTTGGAGAAGAAGACTTGAAATTTGAAGACTTTGGTTTGATGAATCCTTTGGTTGGATTGATGAAATTTATAGAGGGGACTTTGTCGGGGGAGAGAGAGAGAGAGAGAGAGAGAGAGAGAGAGAGAAGCTGCATGGAGTTGGTAGCTTACGATTGCAAGCTGCTACACCAGTAGACAGGATCAAAAGAGAAGGTTGGAGTGGTAGCTTTCATGCTTTTGGCAGATGACAAATCATAATTATGGTAACTTCGTTTCTAATTAAGATGATAATAAGTTAGAAGGTCTAAGCTTGTTCTAGAGGAACAAATCTTTTTGACTCACAATGCAAAACTGCTAGACATAAAAAAATTTACAGTGTGATTATGAAAATTTTATAGTGTGATACTGGAATACAATCATGTGGTATAATCAGTCTACATGTCACAATATAAACTAACCACGGTTCTTTAGAGTTGAATGGCTACAGTATCAATCAAATATTCATGATACCATAACACATGAACTGGCTATACCACACGGTATTTTAGATTTGGAATCCGAAATCCAACTAGATTGACATGTAATCATTATAAAGAAACATTAAAGCCTCTTTCACTTCATTAGGAGATTGGCATCTTTTATATTTTCAAAATGAGAATACTTCAATATTGGTGTTCGATCACATCATTCATAAGTACTCTGAGCAAAAACGAGGAACTCCATGCATTTAGTTTCACCTGATCCCGAACTAGTTCCGCCTAGTGTAAAAATTAAATGCCCAAGTTCCGGCTCCCCGAATATGCTTGTATCAAGGGAAAAAAAACCTAGTATACATGTCTTGTATTATTGTTTGCTTTTGCCTTCCTTACTAATTCATGAGTTCACATTGATTCCATTAGTTGGTTAATCATTAAATTTTTCCGTTATCATGAAGCTTATATGCTCGTGGCTTTCTGAGAATCAATAATTTTCATAGATAATTGTTGCGCGTTCAATGTGTTGTCCTGTTACATACTTACACCTGTTTGGGCATGTTAGAAAACTTGGATTAATCCAAAGAATATGATAACGGGAATATTAGGTTAATCTGGACGGTCCAAAATCTATAATAAAGATATCGTAGGCTTGGTAGGAGAACTACTTCTATAAGCATCCCTTAATTGCAAATAAAAGCATATGCCATTACATATAGCAAGTATATCCCTAACATTGCACTTGACATATTAACGAACAAGCATATGACTATTTTGTCTAGTCGCATTCAATTTTTACTTTGTTAAAGAAGATTCTAATTTCAAAGCTCATAAACGATATTTGTTAATTAAAAAAAAAACATGATATGAATTGAATTCGTTTGACTCACAATATCACCGTGCTATGACAATTTGATCTCGTTGAAAGACAAACATTTTGCAGTGAAACTTCTAAACCTTTGTGTGTTATACTAGTACAAGTTAGCTGATATTCAGCGTGCTATGAAAATTTGATCTCGTTGAAAGACAAACATTTTGCAGTGAAACTTCTAAACCTTTGTGTGTTATACTAGTACAAGTTAGCTGATATTCAGTGTCATGACGGTCAAATTGCACCATATCTTCTTTCATTGGGCCTCGGTGTTCCTCGAGTAGGAGTATGAGAAGGTGAACGTTCCCAAGAGGCTTCACTGGCAAAGGCAGTATTAAGATCTTCGTGTCGGGTGTAACTTTGCCTTGTGTCACTCACCTATTTTTGTATCCCCAAATTAAGAACCATTAGAAAGTATACAGTGGACATGGGCACTGATTAAGCTCAGTTGCCTTGTAAGGTTTCTCTACAATTTAAAACTAAAGCATCTTGCAGCAGGATCTATTTGTTCCTAAGAATTCGAGTCTAACAAAGAAATGTTCTAGGACAATGCAGGGAAATTGCCGTCTTAACAATCAGAAAAAATCATGATGATTGTCCTCATAAAACCTATACATTTACCTAAGGAATGGTGCCCAACATGCTTCAGTTCCCCCCGGGCTTATGGTTGAGCCCCTTATTGCATGGTCCGCTTTACGTTTTTAAGAAAGCAAAGAGTACTCATCATAAGAATATTGTTGATTAAATAATGGGCTCGTTTGGAAGGGTTTTTAAAATGATCGAAAACGCGTTTAATGAAAATGTTTTTGGGTTCGAAAAACACTTGAAGTGCTTCATTCACTTGCATTTTTAGTAAGGATTGGTCTCAAAATCATTTTAACAAAAAACGTTTTCAGTTATTTAAAAAGTACTTCCAAACGAGCTTGATATTATATTTCGGCCACATAAGTAGTTTAAATTCATTAGCCTCTCATATGCATAAGTCATAAGGCAACCAATCATTTGCTAAGTCCAAGGCATACAACATAAATCTTAATGCTAGTGATGTATGCTTACAGTTTCTAAACAAGCAGATATAATTTGTCATGCCCGGCAATGCGTCTATCCCACGCTGTATGTGATCAAGCGTAAATATTAAACATATAACTGAAGACATACCAATTGAGCCTACGATGACAAACTGGAAATTAAAAAACCATCCAAGATATTGAAGCCAAAGAAATAAGGCCTACCTTCTGTTCAACTCGAGTCTTGTATATAATGTTGGATATATGTCAACAATCTATGATAAACTTGCATATACTAATAATAAATATATTACAGAGAATAAACAAGATGAAATATTATTTAAGCAGAGAAACAGAAGATCGAGGCTTGCGTACTGCAATGTTTTTGAAACAAAAATTTCGTCCATACTCAGTGCTTGTAGTTTTACAGACGTCTGCTTCACCAAGATTCAACGATCTAAGTTAGAATTCCAACACCGGAAAACTAGACTTCTGGCGAATTTGTTTGTGGTACTCTTAGTATGCTTGGTATATAAGGATTGATGATTTTCAGTGTATTGAATGATATGTAGATGCATGTATTTATAGTGAGCATATGTCTATTTGCAACATACATGTTTTTAGGAGGCGACTGTTCAATGCAAATGGTGTGTTGCTTCATGTGTTTCTCAGATATGTTCATAGGCTCTCAGACTTCATCTGAAAGGATGAGTTTTTTCATAAAAAATAATTTAATTAAATTCGAAATTAATTAAATTTTTTAATTTTCAAAGCCTGGCGAATTTGTTTGTGGCACTCTCAGTATGCTTGGTATATAAGGATTGATGATTTTCAGTGTATTGAATGATATGCAGATGCATGTATTTATAGTGAGCATATGTTTATTCGCAACAGACATGTTTTTAGGAGGCGACTGTTCAACACAAAGGGTGTGTTACTTCATGTGTTTCTCAGACATGTTCATACACTCTCATACTTCATCTGAAAGGATGAGTCTTTTCATAAAAAATAATTTAATTAAATTCAAAATTAATTTTCAAAGCCCTCCCCCCAGGCCCATCTATTGATAATTACACCCCAAAGCCCAACCTCAAGGGTGAGTCCAATTTTATTCTCCAAGATCCATCACTCAAATTACTTTTTATAAGGGACAAAACCTTATAAAGTGAGGAAATCTTGTGGTGGTGAGCAACGTGGGATAATGAAATTCTATTCAAAATTTCTAACATATAAACCCTCCACAACAAAACAGTGTCGATGATGCAGTGAATCTGATCTGAGACAGATCGCTCAAACATCAACTTCAGCTAAAAATAAGGCTATACTGGATTGATTATAAGGATGTGTATGATAGACCCCCCACCGTCCCTCGCAAAGCGAGGAACCTTGTTGGCTTTGGGTCGCCTTTTTAATCTGTTTGTTGCCATTGAATGCCTATACAGCATACGATGCAGTTGCTCACATCACATGTTTTAGTTATCGAATTTTATCATGGCAATTGATAAATATTTGTAGTATGGATATTTTTCAGTAGGAACTGGCTTACTTGCAGGATACACTCCAAATGTAGCCCATCCCGTTGTAATCTCTCCACTTTTGCGCCTGCCTATGTTCTGCGATTGAGCAAACCAAGCTCTTTCAGTTGATATTATTACAAACCACTACTGGTATCAATTTTCAAGACATTTACCCACTCAGTCAGCCAATTACATTTCACCAGCAAGTTCGACTGCAAGAAGTGTCGCTTTAATACGATTTGGCACATTGCATCTCCAGAACTTGTTCTCTTAAGATAGGTTATGTTTCTCCACAGTTTGAAACATGAGAGTTTTAAGAGAGCAATATGAGCTTACCGCACATTTTGGCAAGCAAAAACTGGATGGGCTCATAACCCTCCACTGGGTAGTGATATTTAACTTCATATGGAGTATCACGTGCCCTTTCACCTGAAAATTACAAATAGGAATTAAGAAGACGTTGTTGTAACTTGTAAGGGATATCAACACCCACTGCAGTAAAGATACCCTTACATCTCCATGCAACAGTTGAGATTGTGGGTGAGGGTGACAAAGTTGGAGGGGGGCTCCCAGTTGCTCCCGACCCTAATAACTTAACATCCAGGCCATTTTCTGGTAAGACCTGCAAATATTTAATCAAACTGAGGACAGATAATTTGAACATTTTATTTACTTATAAATGGTTTTGCATGCATCAAAGTGTACGGAAGCCGAGCACCTTAATATTAGGTCTTTGCACCAAAGTGGAAAAGGAAGCAATATTGCAGCCATAGAAAGGGTTACACGTCTCTGTTCGGTCCCAAAGCTGCAAAATGCACTTTATAGGTCAGATTGATGGAGGCTACTTTTTTCTTTTCTGGTTTAGGGGAAGGAGATGTTAAACGACTCATCCCATACCTAAACTCGCAGTGAGACTTTTCATAGCCTAATTGAGTCATGCCATCGTAAACCTGCAAGTTCACAAAAGATACATATTAGTCCCCAAGCTAACATTCAACATGCAGCATGTGTTGGATAATTAGGTGATGCATATTCTGTCCACTTCACACATTTTCGGTGTTCATTCATCTTCAGAAAAATAAGATCAAATATTCAAAGTTGGCGCAATATGTAATGATTGCCTCAACAAATATTTAACGTTACATTTTACCATAATGAATTGACAATGAATTGAACTGTGGAGGAATTAAACTTTGAATTTTTGTTCAAGCTGTTTTATATAATAGTAAAGGGGTGTGCTATTTACACACATTTTTTACTTCTCACACATCCCTTATTAATTTATGTTCTTTGATCTTTTTCAATTGATCTGATCTGGTGACCGAAAATTAGAAGAGTGTGTGAGAAGTAAAAATGGGTGTGTGGATATCACACCCCAATAGTAAATGAGAAAGCTTAAAACTTTTTAAAATAATGCGAGGATATAATGGGTAAAAGGTGAATTGGTGATAAATTGTTATTCAAAATTAAGAGCTAAATTTATGGCAACAATTGTTATTGTCACTTTATCATTGACTTGTTTAATACATATTTGATAATTAACCATGTCTGTAATTTGATTAGTTTATTTTGTTTTTTTGCATGATTATTTTAAAATGTATATAATAAAATTATGTTAAATTCAAAAAATTTTATTGTTAGAAATTCAACAGCCTAGAAATATAGCAGTTGAAAATCCAACGGTTCGGAACATACCAAGTCGCCCCTCTCAATCGGGTGTGAGGGCGTCTGCCAAGCGGGCCTCGCTACCTACTTTTGGTTGGCCCAAAAACTTGAACTCTTGCGAACCGCACGTGCCTGACCCAAAATCTCACCTCAAACGGACAGGCGCGTGAGAATGGCCCGATTGTTAGGTCTGGGGGGTTGGGCCCGCTGAATGGCCCCAAGGTAGGCTGGAGCTGTTTTTGCTGGAGTGGGAGGATTGACTCACTCAATTGCAAGGGCAATTCAAAGAGGTGGAGGTGGAGTTGCTCCAACTACTCTGCAGACCAAAAAAGGGTAGAGAAATTTTCCAAAAGTAAAAGAAGAAAAAAGAGAAAAGTGAAAATTGATGACAACAACAAACAAGTGTTAAAAATTGGAAGAAAAGGGAAAAAGGAAAAAAAACAACCCAAAAATAAAAAGCCACAAGAAACCATATTCCAAAATGCAAATTCCATTCCATTTTATATTTTTCCAAATTCCTAAAACAAACAAAAATAAGGAAAATTAATAAAAATAGTTTGAAAACTTTGTGTTTTAACGATAAATATAAAATAAAATGTAAAGTAAATAGTATTAGAATTAACCTTTTAGTGTAAAAATATAATTTTTTATTAAAATGAACAGTACTGGAAGATTTTCGTTAAAATTTAAAAAAAAAAAAAAAGCAAAAAAGCATTGAAAATTCCAAAAAACAAAAACAAAAAGGCCTCCAAACACTCCCACACACAATAGAGAGAAGCAGCACCTCTCAACCTCGAGCTCCGCGCTCCGCGCTCCGATTCTCTGTAAAGAAACACAATCGAACAGAAGAATTACGATCAAAGCTTCAAACTTTCCCATTAATTTCACAAAATTTGAGCGCCAAAATCCATCGGAGCTTCGGCAAAAACCTGGAAACTATCATTATTTACAAGCGTCTTCAATCGCAGAGAGCCAAATGTACGAACCCCACCGGCCGCAGTCGAAAACCCAAACCCTAGAACTATGCCGCCGGGACTCGCAGTGACGGAACTTTCAAACCCTAGAAATAGCCAAGCATTCCGTGGGGTGGGTCGCGGCGCAGAAGCGGTGGCTTCTGGCTTTTCTCGTCATGGTCTCCCTCTCTACCATGATCGCCTTCTTCATCAGAGCCGCGTTTGACACCTGCGATCGCGGCGGCCTCGACGTCGTCGATAAGAGGGTTCCGCTGGGGGCGCCCATTGGAACCAGTCCTAGCCCCCTCAGCTTCATGAAGTCCAAGCTCGTGCTCTTGGTCTCCCACGAGCTTTCTCTTTCTGGTAATGTCTCTGTCTCCATTAGATTGTTCATTTTTATGAATTTAATGCATTTTTTATATTAATCGTGTTTAATTAGTTGTGTTAAGTTTTTAATGACTTATTAGATTATACAAACATAGAAAGTTAGCAGCTTTAGATGAAAAGCACCACTTGTATCGGTGGAATCTGTGAGCATTAACTGGTTTTCGATAACCCATTTGACAATAAGTCCTTTCCTGTCTCGCATTAAATACAGCACCAGAAACTTTGGCACCAACTTCCTTCATCTTGGCAACAATCGATTCGGCCTCCTCCTTCGTAACCCCCCTTCTTCAACAGCGTAGGTGACACGCCCCGATCCCGATATTTCCCCGAATACTAGGATAGGCACGTGCTGGCCGACACCCGAGGGTGACGAAAGCCATTTATTGAGTGTAATTGCTGAAAATAAAGGATAGATAAAACTTATAAATGTAAAAGAATAAGGAATATGCATTTAAGGAACGTGTTCAGAGCATACAACTAACTAGAACACTAAAGAAAATAATATGAAATTAGATGAACAAAGAAATGGGTCCTACATCGAGAGGACTCGAAGATACCGAAGCGGAAGTGCCTGGATGCCGGGATTGTACGCCTCGATTCTAAGTCCTGAAGGGGGCGCAAAACAAACATGAGTGGACCGATTTGATATAAATATAATAAAACAATTAACAACTTACTAACCCCCAGGTTTTATGAAAACACATATATAATGATAAACATAGGTTTTCCGAAACCTAGCATGATGTGCAGTATCTCAAATCATAACTCATATATAATAATCACTAGTGAATTGTCCGATATAACCTCCAGGCCCCATGCCGGCTCCCCGTCTCTGAGCAGACAGTCAGAGGAAAATACACTTCAGGCCCCATGCCGGCTCCCCGTCCCTGTGCTAAATAGCCAGAGGAAACATACTCCAGGCCCTATGCCAACACCAAACCGTCGCCCGGGACGGACCGGAATCTATCCCTACGTCCCGTAGCGGAAAGGACCACTAGGTAGGTACAAAACCATTGAACATATATATATTGAAAAACAACTTCATAGTATAAAGTCATCCATCATCTATACTATAAAGAGGTGTTCGAAACATGTTCTAAATATCATATCGTCATCCATCAGATATTCTATAAGAACACGGGTTATAGGAAAAATAGTAATAATTCAAAATAGCCTCAGTAAGCATGTTATCTCACAAAACGTTTCATAGAACATAATCATCAAATCATGTTTTTCATGTATGCATTTCTACTATTAAAACATGCTTTTGAAGGGGTCCACTCACAGTACTTAGCCGTCGAAGAGCCACGCAAACTAACGAACAAGAAAACGTCACCAATAATTGCCCCTAAGCACATAAAGGGTCCAATTAATAAAACTCTATTTTAACAATTGAATTTGGGAAAACAGACGTTGGAAACGGATTCAGAACGTCGAATTACCCTAAGAAGGGTCCCGGACAAAAACCCGAAAAGTCAACCCTAAAGTCAACGTTGACCGGGGTCAACGGTCAAATTAGGTCTAACGGGTTTTAGGCTTGAAATCTGGATTAAGGTTTAGGTTTAGGTTAAATAGGATTAGGATCTATTGGGTTTTGGAATTCTAAGGTTTTGGGTTAAAAGGGTTTTGGGTGAAGAAATGTGGTTTGGGCCTAAGCCCAAACACATACACACCACAAACACACATACACATGCACGGCATGCACATGCATGCATGGCATGCATATACACACACTTAAACACACACACACAAACTCACACACTCACACAGCACACACACACTAAATATACATACACACACACACGGGTACACACTCACACACCCACACAATCTAAAACACACACACACATGGCCCAAAGGCCTCACAACCAAAAGGGTTGGGCTCAGAGGGAAGCCCAAAGGCTTGGTTGGTGGGTCGCCGGACCCAATGGGAGAGAAAGCCGAATTCGGCCGGAAA